ATGTTTATCTGATCAAATTTATGTCCTTTGATGAACTAAAGTGTTTCTGTTGGGAAGACTCAATGTTTGTGTGTAAGTAGTCACTTTATAATGCAAGAGTGGGCAGTGACCTAGTCAGAGCCACACTGGGAGCTGTACGCAGCTGTTTCCTGTAGTTCTCCTCTGCAGAGTAAAATAAAACCTTTTCTTCCTTGCATATCAACTCTCAGTGCTCATTTTTACTCCACAATTTGGCATCACGAACAGGATCCTTCGCTGACCCGTCCGCTCAGTGGATTCTAGAAGAAGGGCTGAGCACCAAAACCATATGGGTTTTTCCTCTACCTCAAATAGGCCATTTAAGAGAAGGAGGACTCTTCTGATGCACCGAGTAGATCAATCTCGACAGGAGGACAATAATTTCAGGAGACTGAGAGAGGAAGTAAACTAACAAACTCTTTTAAAGGTTAAAAAAAATAAAATATTGTTATAACATTAAGCAGGCAGTCAAAAGACTGAAAAAGTAGGCCTTAAACAGGCTGAGGGTAAGTCTATTTCAGACCGAGGGTAAGTCTTTTTTAGACCGAGGGTAAGTCTTTTTTGAAAGACCGAGTTTTGAAATAGTAGGCCTTAAATAGACTGAAAGTAAGTATTTTTTAGACCGAGGGGAACTCTTTTTTTAAGACCTAGTTTTGAAAAAGTAGGCCTTAAATAGACTGAGGGTGAGTCTTTTTTGAGACGGAGGTTGTAGGTCTTACTAAGGAAAAGTAGACCAAGTGCATCCCTCCATGGAAATGCCTCCGAACACCATCACTGACCCACCACCAAACCAGTCATGCTGAACGATGTTACAGGCACCATAACGTTCTCCACGGCTTCTCCAGACCCTTTTCATGTCTGTCACATGTGCTCAGGGTGAACCTGCTCTCATCTGTGAAAAGCACAGTGCACCAGTGGCGGACTTGCCAATTCCGGTGTTCTGTGGCAAATGCCAATCGAGCTCCACGGTGCCGGGCAGTGAGCACAGGGCCCACTAGAGGACGTGGGGCTCTCAGGCAACCCTCGTGAAGTCTGTTTCTGACTGTTTGGTCAGAGACATTCACACCAGTGGCCTGCTGGAGGTCAATTTGTAGGGCTATGGCAGTGCTCCACCAGCGCCTCCTTGCACAAAGGAGCAGATAGCGGTCCTGCTGATGGGTTGTAGACCTTCTACAGCCCTGTCCAGCTCTCCTGGACTAGCTGCCTGTCTCCTAGAATCTTCTCCATGCTCTTGAGATAGTGCTGGGAGACACAGCAAACCTTCTGGCAATGGCACGTATTGATGTGCCATCCTGGAGGAGTTGGACTGCCTGTGCAACCTCTGCAGGGTCCAGGTAGCGCCTCATGCTAACAGTAGTGACAGTGACCCTAGCCAAATGCAAAACTGGTGAAAAAGAGTCAGAAAAGATGAGGAGGGGAAAAAATGTCAGTGGCCTCCACCTGTAAAACCATTCCTGTTTCGATGGTCGTCTCGTTGTTGCCCCTCTAGTTCACCTGTTGTTAATTTCATTAACACCAAAGCAGCTGAAACTGATTAACAACCCCCTCTGCTACTTAACTGACCAAATCAATATCCCAGAAGTTTAATTAAGTTGATGCTAAACTCTGATTACAAAGTGTTCCTTTTAAGTTTTCTGAGTAGTGTAATTGTATGATAAATTATGGCATCCTGCTGTTATAGTCATTTTTTATTATTGTCTTTAAAGCTTTGTTTTTGCTAAGCTTTGTTAGCAAATATAGCCGTTCTGTGTGTATTTACCCTAATGACATCCTGTGACCATGATTAAGTCATTGCATGCAAACAATTGGTCAACAATCCTAAGTGATGGAGGTAAGTGAGTGTGGGACTGCTAGTCTGCTAGCTCACTTGCAAAAAAAGCCCATGCATTTTTTTTCCTAACATCAAATGCAAAAAGGCACAAATTGAATTTGTATTCTAAGAGGGGGTTCACTGAAGCTGGAGTTGAATCTCAGGAAGCATTCTGATGGTGCTGTGAAGTTGGTAGCCGCTGGAATACGTCCTTGCTAACATAGCTACTGGTGTTGGCAATGCTTTTGAGCTGGCAGTTTTTCTGCGAGGCATTCAGCACCAATGGCATGGTGGACTTATCTAATAGCTGTGTCAATGGCCAACGTCTTGCCTTCTGGCAGATTAGGAGTACTGCCGCTAGATGGCGCCACGTCTGTTCATGTCAGCCTGTCTCGCCCGGTTCTTGAGTTGTATTTAGGCTCAAAAGGATTATCTAAACATGATCAGGACGGACGCTTAGAGTATAAATTCAATGATCGCAGCCCCGGTAGCTGATCTGATTACTCACTTCCTTCACCTGCTGTTCCCTCCCCCGCTCTCTAATTATCATTCATCTTATTCACCTGCTCCCTCTGCTATATACACTATATTGCCAAAAGTATTTGCTCACCCATCCAAATTATTGGAATCAGGTGTTCCAATCACTTCCATGGCCACAGGTGTATAAATTCAAGCACCTAGGCATGCAGACTGTTTTTACAAACATTTGTGAAAGAATGGGTCGCTCTCAGGAGCTCAGTGAATTCCAGCGTGGAACTGTGATAGGATGCCACCTGTGCAACAAATCCAGTCGTGAAATTTCCTCGCTCCTAAATATTCCACAGTCAACTGTCAGCTGTATTATAAGAAAATGGAAGTGTTTGGGAACGACAGCAACTCAGCCACGAAGTGGTAGGCCACGTAAACTGACGGAGCGGGGTCAGCGGATGCTGACGCGCATAGTGCGAAGAGGTCGCCAACTTTCTGCAGAGTCAATCACTACAGACCTCCAAACTTCATGTGGCCTTCAGATTAGCTCAAGAACAGTGCGCAGAGAGCTTCATGGAATGGGTTTCCATGGTCGAGCAGCTGCATCCAAGCCATACATCACCAAGTGCAATGCAAAGCGTCGGATGCGGTGGTGTAAAGCACGCCGCCACTGGACTCTAGAGCAGTGGAGACGCGTTCTCTGGAGTGACGAATCGCGCTTCTCCATCTGGCAATCTGATGGACGGGTCTGGGTTTGGCGGTTGCCAGGAGAACGGTACTTGTCTGACTGCATTGTGCCAAGTGTAAAGTTTGGTGGAGGGGGGATTATGGTGTGAGGTTGTTTTTCAGGAGCTGGGCTTGGCCCCTTAGTTTCAGTGAAAGGAACTCTGAATGCTTCAGCATACCAAGACATTTTGGACAATTCCATGCTCCCAACTTTGTGGGAACAGTTTGGAGCTGGCCCCTTCCTCTTCCAACATGACTGTGCACCAGTGCACAAAGCAAGGTCCATAAAGACATGGATGACAGAGTCTGGTGTGGATGAACTTGACTGGCCTGCACAGAGTCCTGACCTCAACCCGATAGAACACCTTTGGGATGAATTAGAGCGGAGACTGAGAGCCAGGCCTTCTCGTCCAACATCAGTGTGCGACCTCACAAATGCGCTTCTGGAAGAATGGTCAAAAATTCCCATAAACACACTCCTAAACCTTGTGGACAGCCTTCCCAGAAGAGTTGAAGCTGTTCTAGCTGCAAAGGGTGGACCGACGTCATATTGAACCCTATGGATTAGGAACGGGATGTCACTTAAGCTCATATGTGAGTCAAGGCAGGTGAGCAAATACTTTTGGCAATATAGTGTATATGGTTCAGCCCAGCTATCAGGGCCAGATCTTTCTTCTTAGTTTATTCATGTAATGTATTTGTGTCAGTTGTAAATGTTTGTTTTTGAGTTTAGTTAAATTCCTGGTTCATGTCCTGACTCTTGGGGGCCTGTGTGTTGAGAGGGTGTTAGTGTTTGTCTCCTGTCTTCTGATCGTGTCCCGGCTATTCTCCACGGAGCCCACTGGTGTTGGCTCGGAATGCGGGGAGGTCAGTTTTAATTCCCGTAATCCTGGCTCCAAGTTGGAGTACAGTTTAAAGTCTTCAGTTATCCTGGTGCCATGTATTGTCTATTTTTCTCTTAACCACTGGGCCTGCCTGTCTCCATCTGAGCTGACTGCTGGACTCATTGGAACTCTGAACCTGCCTGAACGCTCTGTTGATTCCTGAAACCCTGGATCCGTCTGTTCCTGTTTGGATCTGAACTCCTGGTTGGGCTACAAACCCCTAGATCCCAGAACTGTCCTGTCTGATTTGTTTTCACTGACCTGGATCGGATTTCTGCCTGCTATCTGAGGTTGCTGCTTCGGGGACATTCTGGGCTGCTCTGTCCACAGCTCGTTTGGCAGTCCATCAGCTGGATCCTGCCTTCCTCGCAGAGACTGAACTGTTAAATCAGAGTGTCAGGGATTGCCCCGCCCCTCCTGCAGCTGCTGCAGGTCTGCTGATACACAGCAGCCTGCGTTCTGTTTGTTTTGTTTCTGTCTTTCATGTTTTTGTCTTTAAACATTTTGAAACTTCCCACTGTCTGTCTTGTCTTAATACTGGGTCCATCTGTCGCGTTTTATGACAATATATCCGTATATCATGTTTATCAGCTGGAATTTCTACTTTATTGTGAAGGCATATGATATGACCATGCACCTTTAAAGCTCTCAGAGGAAAAGCAGGTTCCTGTTGATAACAAAAATCTCAGATCTGTTTATTTATGCTAAAACACCTGTGGTGCCTCATTTCATAGTTCATTATCATTTCACTTAAATTAGTTATTAGGCTTTTGCACTCATCCCTAAACTGAGCAAGCATATGGCAATAGTGGAAAGAAAGGATTCAGATTTAACACAAAGAGGCCTCCTGTAGAATATGGCTCTGTGTGAATGGCCATCTCATAAAACTAAGAACACACAGAAAAATATTACAAATCTGTCAGATGCTGTCAGATGCTGCTAATCCAATAACAATCCTTCTTCATCTTTATTTATGGATTATTTTATTAGACTTAAGACACCTCTTTGAAATTACTTTGTTTTCTGTCTCTGGATCCCTGCAGCCGTAAGCACCCTCCCAGAAAAGCAGAACTGTTGGATCAGAAAATTCTTTGTGACTTGACTTTAGGCTGACTTCCTTGTCCGACTGCTGCGGGACTCTGAGCTCCTCTTTAATTTGCTCTTTGCTCCCTTGGCTGGATTTACTGTTCTGTAACTTTCTAGCGGTAAGTCTAAGATCTTTAATAGGTTTACAGTATTTATATTTGTTGTGTTAGAATGAAAAAGATTAACAAAACTTCAAACTTTTAGAAGCATTTTTTTGTCTCAAAATATTTCTGTTTTTCCTTTAATTTCCTTCTCATTATATTCTTTCAAATATCTCTCATATTCTGTATTTTGTCCTTGATCTGATCTTATTTTATCTACATCCCTTTTATCCTGTGTGATCCCACTCCTCTTCTCCTCACCAGCCCCACTCACTTCTCTCATCATGCTCTTCCATTGTTTTCTTCTAACGGGAGCTCTGCTCTCATTGGCTGTACCTACTAATGTCGCCATCGAGACGTGTCCAGCAATGCCAGGAATGCCAGGTTTGTATGTTTACCTGTGTTTAGTCTTATTGTATTACAGAGGTGTTTCCTCAACCCTTTCTTGATCTACGTCACTGGCTGATTTCAGGCATTCCCGGGCTTCCTGGCAGAGATGGTCGTGATGGTGAGAAAGGAGAAAAAGGAGATCCAGGTAGTGAAAAGACATGTTTTTAGGTGGTGATTCATGGTCAGATCCTTTAAATGTGGTGACATTATCTTAAATTGTATTTTGTTTACTGAGACTACTTTTTTGTTTTATGGAAATTAAACAAAACTTCAGTAAAACCATAAAATGGGACTTAAATTGAAGGATTTAACATCTATTCAGAAATATTTGTCAAGATTGACAAATACCTCCTTGAAGATGAGTGAAAGTCCGGTTGCCTCTGAATTCTGAATTGTGGCTGCCGCTAACAGAATTTACACAGGCAGTTCCGGCAAAAGTTTGTTTTTTGCAAAAATACTTATACTTATTGCAGGATTTCAAGTGACTGAACAAAATAGCTAAAGGAAAATTATAAATCAAGTTGTTTTACAAACACGATCTAGGAGTCAGGAGTCAATATTTTGTAAAATATTTAACACCAGGGGCAGCTGACTCCACGCCATGATGCTGCCATTACTATGTTTCACAGTGAATATTTGGGGTCACATGTTATCCTGACAGTTCTGTTCCTCAGCCCCTCCACCCTCCACATGCCCTGTCTACTGGGCTGAGTTTCTGTTTCCCAGCCTGTAAGAGTTGGTGGTCATCCATGTCTGTTGTGCTCCTTGCTGGTGAAGATTCTCAGTCATCCAGGTCATAGCCATTCCAAGAAAGTTAAAAAACAATCCACTGGACTTTGTTTCCAAGCTTGCTTCCCATCCAGGAAGCTTTTTGAATTTAAAATGTCAGAAAAAGCGTTGAGTTTTATACATAGGTTTTATACATTTAACTGCATACACCACTCCGCTCATAGACACATTTTGGACAAAGATTGACTAAGGCTCAGATTTTAGCTTTCAAAAACCTCCAATGCAGCGATAGAGTTGATTCCTTCCCGCTATCATCGCAGCCCCAACCCCTTTACAGGAGAACAGAAGACCTCACCTGTTCAGCCAGGCCAACAATTCCCTCTAACGACCCCCCTTTCAGAGACATAGACAGGTATGGGGCATTGCAGGCTAACAAAGAAGCCAAACGACCCCCATTCCAAAGGGGTGGACACAGGGCTGTCAACTCTCACCCATTGGGAGTGAGACTCACCCATCTCAGTGTCTTCACACACTCTCACTCCAAATTTCCAATTTCTCACACAAAAAAATGACAGACATTAAAACTCAACTCCGTTCCACTTATTTATGTATAAAAATACCATGGTGATCAAAATCCATTCCGCATGTTTCATGGAACCTTAGTGCTAACACATATCCAGTCCATATTCCCACCTATTCACTGTGCTAGATATTAAAAAAAGACAGTTGTTATTTTAATTTTTATCTTATCTCATCTGGACTAGGAATATTCTCTTTGTAAATTATTGAAGATTTTAAGCAATCTAGTACTTGAGTAAATATGAATAAAAAATACAGTAGCTAGCGGAAATTATTGATGTGGAGACTGAGTGTAGGATCACATCCAATGGTTTGTTTTCTCTTTACCTGCTGCCTTTTTAGGCCATGTTTTGCTCACAAGTTCAAGAATTATTGCTCGGTCTAGTTTAATAATCTCCTGTTGGCATTTAGAAGTAATTAACCCAACACAAATATTTTAATTCTTAAAACTTTCATGTTTGTCTCTCAAACCCATAAGAGCTCCACAACAAGAAAAAGAACCATTGCATTTTATTTATCAAAAGATCAGCCACCCAAGAAAAGACCAACCACATCCAGAGAGGATGTGCAGAACAGCTCAGTTATCCTGGATTCATAGAGGAGGAACCACAGGGATGTTCTCATTTTATTATTACTTATCTTATTCATTTATCTTTATTTTGGTCCAATGAATATATTTAAAAACATAATTTCCACCACACCTTCCAAACTGAAACATTCAGAGAAGAACTGTCTCCTGTCATGGTGAGTTTTTATAAAATCTCCAGCCTCCTAGAAGGTCTGAATTGTTTAGCTGTTTTGGCAATTGTAAGAAAAACTAAAAATATAATGAATTAAGCTTTTTAATCCTTAGCCTATTACCAATATACATACACAGTGTAGTTTGCATATATGGTTTTGATTGCAGTGGTTCCTGTATCAGTGCCAGTAATCCAGTAATAGTTTACTAGTTCCCCATTGTTTAATTTACATTAATTTAATAATAATTATAACAATGTAATAATAATTTCACAAAGTTGTGATTCTTAGTTTAAAGTATATTTAAGATTCAAGTATTTTAATAGGGCCCTTTCTGCTTTATTTCAATTCTCTAAAAATCACCAGAATATAGAAAATTATGTATATTGTGAGGAAAATGTTCCACATAACTAGAGATCACTTATTGTTACTCAGTAACATTTACTGTGCTATAAAATTCTACTTTTTACCACTTTGTTTCAGTTAAATCCTCTTAAAACGTCCAACCTATAGCTGTTCCTATTCTCATCTAACCCCAAGGTTCTCTGAAAAGTTGGCAGCCCTGTGGACCCGTTCGTCCGTTTATATTTGCATGTTTTCTAAACAAAAACAAGGCTTTGTTCTGCCGCTGGATAAAACCTGGAACTCAACGCTAATTCTGACATTTTGAATTGAAAAAGTTTCCTGGACGGGAAGTGAAACGTCTTCAAACTTGGAAACAAAGTCCAGTGGATTTTTTTTTTTACTTTTTTGGAAAGCTGTGCTCCTTGGTCTTCATGATGCAGTTTTTTTTTCTCTAATATTCACTCATAAACCTCTGAGGCAAGGCACAGAGCTGCTTTACGGTGAGATTAAACTTCACCTTGGTGTATTCTATTGATGAAAGTGAGCCTTTTGAAGGCAGTTGGATGCACAAGATTTATCTTTTTGTTATTGTAGTAGGGGGCGGGTCTGTATACAAAAACATGCAGAGATGTAGATCTTTTTTATTCAAGCTAATTGCTGACATTTTTTAAATTAATAGGAGAAAATTTTTCCACTAATTTCCAGTTACTGATAAAAAAAAATCCACAGAAAGCAGAGGTTTCCTCTTTTCTTCTGCATTAGAGGACTCAGCAAATGGCTGGTGGTGAGCGGGTGAGCATGAACGCACCACTTACTGGCTGGGGGCAGAAAAACTTGCAGCCATCACCTTTAAGAAAAACAAATGTTATTTTGTGTAAATAACCAAGATGGTGTAAAAAAAAAAAGGCAAAATGGTATAAAGGCAAAAATACAACAAAGGAGAGCAGAACCTGGAGCAGTGTAAATATGGGTAGTAATGGACATGGTGACCAGCAGCGTAAAGAGAGGATCCAATGAAGAACACTGAAGATGAGGGAGGTGTGCAGAATGATGTAGAAATCCTGTGTGTTAATAAGGAAACAAGATGGCGTCTCTGAGGCAGAACATAAGAAGGGGGAGGAGGCATTAATCCTCAATTGCGATTTTTTTTTTTTGGTGAAATCTGATTTATTTGCGTTGCTGTTCACATTTCCAAATGTATGTGAATTGTACGTGATCTCCTGTGTGAACTGCATTCATACAACGCAACACAAGTGTTTGCAGTAGAGTCACAAGTAAACATGGATGGAAGTGTTGGAGTGCATAGCGATAAAATATATATTTTCAAGATGGTTAAACATAAATACTACTCTCTGCATCATCGTCCGCCACGGTTGTTGTTTTTCTTGCCGCTTCTGCTTAGCAAGACGCAGAATAGTGACCTATGTCGAATACTAATGGCATTCAGGTCGGATGAATGTGGCCTGATAGTTCAGACACAGCTCGCATTTGAAAAGATCAGATTCGTATCGGATTCTGGACCATAGAGCCAAGTGGAAAGGATCGCATTGGAAAAAATCGGATCTGTGTTGTTCAGAAAAGACATAAACATAATGTTTTATGTCATGAAAACATCAGATCCAGGTCGCATAGGGGCAAAAAAAATTGGATTTGGGTCACTTCAGGCTGCAGTGTGAATGTAGCCGAAATAAGAAGGAGCTGAACTGACCACAAGAAAACTCTTAATGAAAGAAAAAAAAAAAAGATACCAAACCCAAAAGAAGAACTAAAGAACGCAGGAATAAACCACCAAACTAAGCAAAGTTTTTTGGGTGTTAAGATCTAACACCCAAAAAACCAAGAAAAAATCTTTTTTGTTATTGTTGTTGGTTTAATATTACTGTAATTAATATTGTAATTATTATTTACATTAATATGTAAATAATATTAATATTACTGTAATTATTGATTGTAAAATATATTAATGAAATGAGCAACAGAGCAGAAGCAATACAGAAGGTCAGGTTCCATTAAAAACTAAAAAGATCCCCTCTCTGCTGTGTTATTCAAGGAGAAGAAAGGAGCTACGGGTCCGGGTTTCAGAAGGGCATGAAGGGCGATCCAGGGCAAAGTGGACCTCCTGGCAAGCGTGGCCCATCAGGAGAACCAGGAGAACCAGGCCCTGAAGGGATTCCTGGGCCTCCAGGGGAGCCGGGAGAAGCTTGGTACAACACCAGACAGACATGCACTTTGGTTTTAAAAAAGATGGTCGACATAAACTGTCTCCAACAACCTTACAATAGTTGAACACGATTAAGATATGAAAGACTGGCCCACTGAGGTTCCAGTTAAAGACCACAACACACAATTAGAATTGCACTTCTCTCCTTGGTTAGCAGGTAACATAGCTACTACTAGCTGACATGAAGAAGTAAATACTCAACTTCCCCATTAGCAACACATTCATTAAAGCCTCTGTCTGTTTTTGATATTTCCACCTTTACTTTCTGTTTATTAAAACTGATCAGATTGCCCATGGACACATTTTTATTTCAGATGTTAGGGGGGATATATATTTTTATATATATATCTTATATTTAAGTTCAGCGCAGATCCTCTGTGTTTATTTCTCTCTTGCATCTCTGCGATCCCTCTCCTGACACCTTTAAAGAAATTTCTTTTTTTCAGGCATTCTGGCTGCGAGTCTAATAACCAAACACAAGAACATTTACTCACATGACACCAATTCAAAGATTTGTGTAAATTAATACATCTGATAATACAACCCTTCTAGCTTCTCAAAACTCAACAGATCTCTGGTGACCCGTTTTAAAGCCTTAACAACTACTAACTCAGAATGCATGAAAATCACACCAGTAAAATGTTTACCAGTATAGACATGTTAGACATCGTTGGAAATCTTAGATTCTTCAAAATTTAACCACCGAGTTCATTTTATGGACACAGCAAGCACCAAAACACAATTAACACAGATATAGCAGAATGTCAAAGGGTTTTTCGCTTGGTCCTAGTGCTCGACGATTGTCTATGTACTGTAGCTGTCATGTTGGGCAGACAGAAGGACCCAGTATTCAAGGAGAGACAACCAGTAGGAAAGTTCAAAACGTTTATTAAAATAAAACAAAAACTGAAGTGGAGCTGAGGCTCACGGACACTTCAGGAGGGGGGTGGGGCACCGCCCAATCTCAGACATTCTAAGGGAGAAACACAGGTAAGTGACCACGATCATCTGACTGAAGATGATGTTCTCAGTGAGTCACTTACCTGGTTTAGCAGTTCAGTCCATAACCCTTGAGAGGGGTGCAATCCAGCCGCTGGGCTGACAGCTCACGCAGCTTGCGTCACCCAGAGTGTCCCCAGTGCTGCAGCTCCGGAGGAGTTGCAGGAAGCGGATCCTGATCAGGGATACTGATCAGGCAGGAACAGACAGAACAGGTTGCAGAAAAGGCAGGAACAGAAGAGGTGGCAGGATCCAGGCTTCCAGGCAATAACAGAGCTCCGGGACAGGTTCAGAGTCTGACAGAGTTCTGAAGCATGACCAGGCGGTCACGCACAGGAGTGGACAGGATCAGGTGCAGATGAGCAGGCTCAGTGGAAGAGGGTAGCCCAGACAGGACGTGGAACCAGAACTTGATGCAGGACTTTAAACTGGTCCCCTCCCTGGAGCCAGGCTTACTGAGATAAAAACTGAACCTCCCCACATATAGAGCCAAAAACCCAGAGGACTCAGTGGGGGAGGAACAGTGGATGAGCAGGAGACGAGACAAACACAAAACCCCTCTTTTCACTGGCTGCCAGGATCCAGGACATGAACCAGGGCAAAAACTGAACAGACAGACTAACAGAAAGACAAGTAATGATCTGGCACTGAATGCTCAGGCTGAACTGAATATAACCAAGAGGAAACAGGTGAGAGGAATAAATCATAATTGAGGCAGGTCATTGTAAAGTCATTGTAAAGTCGTGCACCACTCAGGAGAATTTGAAACTCTAACGGTTGGAACGGCCGCTTCCCTACGACTTTAAACAGGAGCTTTATTTTGTCAACTTATGGTTTTTGATTTAAATGTGGTTACTAAATAACAGACCCTGCAATCAACTTGATTAAATATTCTTCGATTGCGTTCCACCATTAGTTGTTTTTATTTTAAAAAGACTGATGTCTCAGCTTCAGACCCAGAACTGCTCTGTTTTTCTTTGGCTGCAGGTCCTCTGCAGCTCAACCAATGGCAGCCTTCAGTGTGGCCAGAATGACCTCTGGATTTCCTGACAAAGCCAGCACCATCCGGTTCACCAAAGTCATCACTAACATCCAGGATGACTACAACACAGATACGGGACACTTCAGGTATGAGAGATTGCTGCACAGTGTGAAGTTAGGAAGTTGAGACAGAGGCATTTCTTGCACACAAAAAAAAAAAAGTTTAAAATTTACACTAGTATACTCCCCCAGGGGAACCAACCCACCCCCTGCATAAAGAACTTTCTCACACTTGAACATTTGGAGGAGAAACAACTTGAGTTCATCAAGGCCGTTTGCTATTAGGTTAATAAATCTTTCACTGGCCGGATGGATCTCCTCAAAACAACAGTCCTCCCCTTCATGCCATGAAGGAAGCCGTGTGACTCATTCTTATCTCTCATGACCTTCGTTTGGAGCCTTTGAGGCTAAGAACAGACAAACCTCAACATTTTTCAATCAATGTGACAGCTTGAGGGGATGTGTTGTTGATAATATGGGTGAGTATTGGCAAGGTTGCCGTGATACTTGGGTCACAATACAATATTGTCACAAATTATAATTTCAACATATATTGCAGTATTCTACCCAGCTAATGTTAAAATTAAATATGGAGATCAAAAAGTAAGTACTGTATATACAGTAGAAGATATCCATTGTTCAGTTATTTTGTTATTTTGGTAGCCATGTTGTTTGGGGTTCCTCAAATAAACAATCAACTAAAACCCTGCAGCAGGCAGAATATATCCAGAGAGGAGAGGAAGGCAAACTTACATCATACACCGAGCAGAGCGGTGGATGAGGGCTGACAGATCCAAAGGTGGGGGGGGGATTCTGGTTGAAAGATCATTCCGGGGGGGGGGGGGGGGGGGGGGGGGGGGGGGCAGAATCCGAAAGTGAGGGCGTGAAAGGCAGAGGACAACAGGAAGGCAGGCGGAGCCTTGAAACTAACTTATGCAGCAACTGTGCAGAAATGTGTGTATCTGACAGGCGTTGTTTTGCCATGTCTTAGATCATTGCTGAGTAAAGTTTGAAAGACATTTTATTTTTGGCTAAAGAAACAACAGCCCCAATTCTACATCCAGCCATTACTCTGTTTCTGTTATAAAGTAATTTTTTCTTATATATAAAAAAACAAGGGAGCCTTCTAATATTTTTTTATTTGTTCTTATTCCTTCGTGACATAGAGAGAAATGCTTTTTATCTGAATTTATAGCTTTTTATTTCAAAAGAAAAATATCATATGAGTATTTGTTTCATGTTTCCTAACACCTGTTTTTATAAGAAAAGAAATCGGAGGTCTGGCCAAGTTCTTCAACAGCGTTTCTCGTGCCTTTGATAAATACCAACATCCTCCAGCCAATTCAATCCACACTTCCTGGCACTGTCCTCAGCTCTCCAACTATTGGTCCAAAGTTTTTGCCATTTTTTTGGACATTTATGGCATGAAACCGGAGCCTGATCCATTGACTGCTCTGTTTTGGGGTTGCACCTCCACAGCCCACCTTGTCGTCTTTTCAGAATTGCTCCTTGGCTTTCCTGACCTTTTTGGCACAGAGAGTGATTATAATGAAACGGAAGTCGCCTCAACCTCCATCATACATCCACTGGCTCAGAGATAAACTATATTATTAAACTTGACAAAATGCGTCTTACTTTAAGAGGCTCTTCTGTGAGATTTCTGGGTTTATGGAGCCCCTTATTAAAAGTCCTTAGAAAGATTATTTACCTAACATATGTAGCTGTTGTGTGTTATTCTTATCAATATCTTTTTTTTTCTCACTTTTAACTTCTTTCTTGAGTTAAGTTTGTCTAATATATCAACAGCAGGGTCCACTGACACCTGAGGAAAACTGTTTTTTTCTCCCTTGAGTGTCTGTATGGACTGTGGAAAAAGATTTACATAGCTTTAATACTGTGGTTCTTTGTATTTTAATTATTTATCTTCTAATATATCCGTTTCTGTCCTCTTACTCATGATGTTCGTCTCATTTGATCCTTTTTTGTTGTTTTTATCTATTTATTTTTTTGTATTCGGTGTGGGAGTATATATGTGGGCATATTGGGGTTTGTTCTAGCCCAATTATGTTTATTTGTTAAAGGTACATTGTTAACTATATAACTATTGCTATGTTTTTACATTGTATGTAAAAGCATAAATAAACAAAACATAATTAAAAGATCTAAAGACCAAAATATAAACAGACCCTAAATGGCCTTATGTTTTTTAGTTTTTCATTACTCAGCTTAGAAAATGTCCTGAAATGTTTAAACTCTGGTTCTGAGCTGATTTCCTCAGCTTGTTACACAGCAATGATCCTTGTTTTGCTGCAGGTGTCGCGTTCCTGGGATGTACTACTTCGTTTTTCATGCTACTCTGGGAGACAAACTCTGCGTGTTGATGAAGCTGGATGACAACCTGCTGACATCGTTTTGTGATGCTCGCCGCAGGAAACAGGTCAGAACATGGAGCGACTCTTCCATTTGCTGTTTTTATGTCATTTTAATTCAGGAAATAATAAAGGCAGGGTGCTATGGCTCCAAAGGGGTGTTAGGTATGAATATAAAGGTTGCAGGAGGGTAGCTCTCCAGGAAGGGATGTCATTTTGGTGAAATAGCGGGAGTTATTTTGTGGTTGATCTGTTCTGTTGGGTATAAAAAAATCAAAGGAATGTAATATAAAACTCTATTTAGTAATTATTTAAAGGTCCAGTGCAGATGTAAGGTTTCAGTGTGTTTGCACATGCAGTAAGACTGACGCCTTTACTGGTTCCAGGTGACTTCGGGAGGCCTTTCAGTCTACCTCTCCCAGGGTCAGGAGGTTTGGCTGGAGACCAAAGACCAGAGAGGGATGACAGGGGGTCCCAACGGCTACAGCATCTTCTCCGGTTTCCTGTTGCACCCTTACTGACCCTCAGGAGGGAAGACTGGTCACATTTTGATGATAGAATGAAAGTTCTTGGTACTTTTTTTGTTTGTTTTTCTAACTTGTTCAGATTCTATTGAAAAAGAAAGACAAATTGGGACAATTAAAACCATCTTTTGTAACAGATAATCAGGTGTGATGAATGAGAAAAAATGAAGCTTTACCGCTTTATTTGCTCTGCAGTGTTAGATTTATTACCTCCATGTCACCAGTAAAAAGATTTTTTTCAAAGCCAATGTTGCATTTCTTTCATTTTTGACCTCTAGATAAATGTCTTATTCAAACTCATCAAACTTGTGAATGTGAATCACAGAGGGTCAACATATCCTGTTATATTTCTTACTTAGTGAACCTCTGAGCAGGAGCTCATCCATACAGAAGCGTATTGCATTCACAAAAAGGAGGAAAAATGCATTTGGAAAACTGGGTCAGCCTGGACTGGTTTCAATCCTACTTGAAGGACGGGGCAGTCCCCAAAAATCTCACGTGGCGTTCCCCAAGTTTCCATCTTAGGGCCCCTTCTATTCATTATCTCCATGCTCCTCCTGAATCTGATCAAAGACATCATCAGTTACCATAGCGATGCAGATGATACCCAGCTGTTCATCTCCATGCCACCAGGTGACCATGAACCCATTCTAGCTCTACTTGAATGTAGAGCAGAAATCAACACATCAATGAACTAAATGTTCATCAGGTGAATCAAACTAAACTGAAGTCATAGTTTTTGGACCAAAGGAAGAGCGTTTAAAAGTTAGCATTCAGCTAATCCAGCTAGAATGCAGCAACCAGGCTCTAGATCTGGGTGCAGTGATGGACTCAGACCTGAACCTTCAGAGGCTCATAGAGACGGGAACAAATCTGGCCTTCTATCACCTGAAGAACATCTGCAGGATTAAAGGACTAATGTTGAAAAACTATTTCCTGCTTTGTTCATATTTAGAAGAATTGATTCCATCAGCGGCGTCTCCACAGGTCTGCATAAACAGTGGATAAACAGCTGTAGCTAATCTAGCTGGTGCCGCCTGCGTCCTCACTAGAACTATAGAAAGTAGATCAGACAGCTGATCCAGATGCTGCTGCCTGCGTCCTCACTAGAACTATAGAAAGTAGATGAGACAGCTGCAGCTCATCCAGACCCTGCTGCCTGCATCCTCACTAGAACTATAGAAAGTAGAGAACATCCCCCAGTTTTAAAGTCCTTCCTCTGACTCCTGGTATCCCAGAGAATAGACTTTAAAATCCTACTGTTAGTCTAGAAATCACTGGCTTAGCTACAAAACACAATCTACTTTCTTTACCCAGAACCAAACATGGAGAAGCAGACTTAAGTTCTTACACTTCAATAATGTGGGGAAAAAATTAAATAAAAATATTATCTTTTATTTTTACCACTATCTATTTCTATTTATTTTTTATTATTTGTGTTTAAGCCACTTCAACGGTACCCTTTTTTTCCTCTAAAACAGTTTCATTTGAGTTGCCATGAAAATTTTGTATGTAAATATGAAATAAAATGTTTAATGTTTTTCACTAAATGACTTCATATTTAATTTTTTCAGTGTAGGATGTATTAAAGTTTTAGGTCTGCCATCAGAGGATCTGTTTACTGCAGTGATTCTGCAACCATTGTTAAATTTATCAGCAGACAGAGAAGTGCAAAGTAGAGTTGGTAAAACCTCTGCGTGATTAAAAACTGATGATAAAGCATTAAAAAATAGACGTTATCATAAAACATTCTCCCTCCAAATTAGCATCTTGTTCTGTTTTAAAGTGAACTTCCCGTTGGTTCTCTGAAACTCTGACTGCGTTTCCATGCAATGGACCCAATCTCTTCATGGACACCAGTATCGCTTCTACAAATTATTTAATCTCCTCAGCAGATTAAACTCATCTGTGGTTTTAATATTTACTCATCCTGTAAAAAACATTCTGCACAGTCAGCTTCTTTCATGCTCACATCCTCTTTCCATTTTTGATTCTGGGTTTGTCTTAACAACAGAAGCTTGAGGAAGTCAACCCAAGTTGGGAATAAATAAATCTCTGCTGAAGACCAATGTTCACAATATAATTTTCTTATTAGCTGTTTGAAAACTAAAGTTTGGTTTCCATTGCAGCACAAAGCTATTCATTGTTCACACAATAACTCTTGAAACAACTTGGCAGTGGCAGAAGTGAACATGATATATCCATAATACAGCCAAGGCTGATCTTAGAAAACTAAATTGATAAATATACCCGGGCTCTTAATAAATAAAATATACTGCACCATCATCCTCCAGCTAATTATGGTCCTCTTCTTTTACAAGGCAGGAAAGTCCTGTTGGAGATCGCATGTCTCGTGAGGTGCGGAAAAAAAGGTTTTCCTTGCAGTTTTGCAAAAACATAAAGCAAAATTTCTATGTAAAAGAAAAATCCCCCCATTGAAGCATAAAAACTTATGCAAAAACTGTTTGTTTTATTGCAGTGTTTCCACTTTATTTTTGTAAATACAGTTTGTGCAAATTGATGGTTAATGTAAACACAGTCACTTAACCGAGATGTACCGTTGCGGTGCGCTGTGCGTGCCATGCACGAGCCCATAGAAGTATTGTACACTTCTGTAGTTGACGTAGATGTAGGTGCAGTACCCGCAAAAAACACAGAGGGGCAGTGATCAAGATAACAAGCGGAAATGCAAAAAAAGAGAGAAGAAACAGTTGACTTCCAACTTCTGAAATGGCCACATGCAGAATTGCTTATTTACAATTTACTATTCATGAAGATTTTTTATTTATTTATTATATTTAACCTTTATTTAACCAGGAAGTCCCACTGAGATTCAGAATCTCTTTTTCAAGAGATACCTGGCCAAGGTAGCAGCCAAACCACAGGAAGTTCATACATATTTACAACATATTACATTTTTCATAATAAAAATAAATAAATAAATAAATAAATAAATAATAGAATCAGAGCAGTATTTTAAAACACACTGACCATCTCAGGAAAAACAAGCACATATCTCCATCACTACATTCTTCATGGTTGCTTTAAATTCATTAATGGACACGAGAGTTTCTAATTTCAGCTCTTTCTGGAGGTTATTCCATCACCGAGGTGCAGAGTAGGAGAATGCAGTTTTTCCCAACTCAGTTGAAGCTCGGGGTACATTAAAAAGTAACCACTGAGAGGAGCGCAACTGATAACTACCGGAACTCACAGAGAGGAGGTTACAGAGGTACAGTGGGAGTTTACCAAGTATTGCTTTATAGATAAAGATATACCAGAGCTGTTTTCTACGAATTGTTAGTGATGTCCAACCAACTAGATCATAAAGAATGCAGTGATGAGTAAGGGACTTAGAATTTGTAATGAATCGTAATGATGCATGGTACACTGAGTCAATATGACGCAAGATGGAGGATGCAGCATGCATGTACAATATATCTCCATAATCAATCACAGACAAAAAGGTAGCTTCTACAAGTTGCTTCTTAGCACTGAAGGTAAAACAAGATTTATTTCTGAAGTAAAAAAACAAGCTTTACTTTAAGCTTCTTCACTAATGTATATAGAATAGTAGCTGTGTTTATTGCAGCTTCACAGAAATATACGGTGGAATAAAACAGTAGCTTTACCTGCTGCTGCACATGAAGATAAGAAAAGCATCCCCCCTGTGAAGCCCATACAGACCTTTTTCTTTTTTTATAATGATATCAAAAAAAACTTTGTTTCACTAAATAAACGCTGAATGCATTGTAAACTATGGGTAGTTGTTTCAGACTTTATTTATGTTGTATGTGATGGAAACAGAAACTAAAATTCTTGTTTTTATCACAGACTTGGCCAATAAATTAACCTCTGTATGCTGCATTGAACCACAATTTCATTTGAACCTTCTGCACCATTTGATGTTAATAACGACAAACTTGCTCATGTCATGATCGCAGCCCTAGTAGCTGATCTGATTACTCACTTCCTTCACCTACCGTTCCCTCCCCTCTCTTTAATTATCATTCATCGTATTCACCTGCTCCCTCTGCTATATATACGTTTCAGCCCAGCTATCGGGGCCCGATTATTATTCGTTTGTATTGCTTAGTTTATTCGCGTATTCTTAGTTTGTTCGTGTTATGTTGTTGCGTCAGTTATTCATGTTTGTTATATGAGTTTTAGTTAAGTTGCTAGTTCAAGTTCCCATCCCCAGAGGCCAGTGGATTTAGAGGGGCCACGGTTTGTCTCCTGTCTCATGATCGTGTCCCGGCACTTCTCCGCGGAGCCCTTAGGGTTTTGGGGAGGTCAACTTTAGTCCCGTAAGCCTGGCTCCAAGGTAGGAGACCAGTTTAAAGTTCAGCATTTATCCTGGTACCATGTCTTGTTTATGTTCCTCTCTACCACTGAGCCTGCCTGTCTTCATGTAGGTGTATCTGAGCTCGCTGCTGGACTCGTACTGTGGAACTCTGAACCTGCCTTCATGCTCTGTGGATTCCTGGAACCCTGGATCTGTTCGGATCGGAACCCCTGGTCGGGCTACAGACTCCTGGATCTCGTCCGGTTCTGAACTGTTTCTCAGACCTGGATCGGTCTCCTGCCTGCTCACTGGGGTTGCTGCATCGGGGACACTTTGAAAGAGCCAGCTCGTTTAGCTACAGTTACCAAAATGTTGATGTGCTCGACCCAGCGCCGAGGCTGTGCACGTGGTCCGCGCTCGGGAGTGGCATGATTGTGTCCCTATTTGAAGTGCACACCCTCGCACCCTGTTCAATGGGGCGAATGTAAACCATGCTTAAGGCTTGATTTGTAAGAACGTGAGCATGTTTTTCTAATTAGCTTACCTTATAATAGGCACAATAAGAAATAAAAGTAATGGCAACAATAGACTTTATTTGAGAAATATTTATTTTCTATGTGAAAATGATATAGCTAAAATACTATAAACTGTTTATTTTTAAAAATCCCAATAGTCTTGTCACAAGGATGTCTTCATTCTTACGCTGAAATGGGGGTAAATGACCAGAACGTTAATGCTACGATCTGTAAGGCTAGCTCTATCAAGCCAGAACAGCGATGAGGAATGTTAAACCTTTTCAGTGTTAATCTGAGAGCGCTGAAATTGATGACAGTGTAAAAATCACCAAAACTGATGAAGATGAGGAGGACCAATCAGAAGAGGTTCTAAAGAAGCTAGGATATTCGTTTTGTATATACAGAGTGTCTAAAATGTTCCTTTCATTTCTCAGTTGTGCTGTTTTTTTTATTGTTCAGGGACATTAGATAAGTAAACATGTTAAGGTTTTTGCTCTTAATATAAAAAGTGGAAGTTCTGTTTGAAATAAGCGGAACAGAAAGAAACTAAATATGTTGTAAAGACCTGATCCAACAAAACTTCTGTGCTGTCTCTATCTGACACGGATCAGAACACCAAAACCTCTTCCTGAACCTGACCCAGAACCGAGCCCCACCAGGGGCGGATTTAGGAAATTTGGGGCCCTAGGCAAAGACAAAACATAAAACATACCCATTATCCAGATGTAGAAATGTTAATAGAATAGACATCCATTATCTGTTCTAGGTTGTGTCCCTCTCTTCTTGTCCCTTTTCTTCTTGTTTTCCTCTCTATGTTTTGTACTCAGCTGACTTTTCATGCTGTCTCTAAAGGAATGAAAGATTTCTTCCAAGCACTAAGCTCACTTAGCTGATTGCTCCTTCCTGTGTTTCCAAAAAGGCCAAAGTAAATAACCCAGTCCTTCTTTTCACTGTAGACAAGCCATGATCTGCTTCTCTGTTCTCCATTTTTCATTTGGATGAAATAATAGCTGCATGAATCATGACAGCAGACAAGATAGAGGAGAGCAGGAGGCGGGGTTACCAATCTACTCGCTCTGGAGAGCAGAGTTCGCTGCTTTTAGATGTTGTCTCCAAAGTCTCCAGTAGCAGAAAAAGGTCTCTAGATTTGGCGCTAGGAGCTTTTTAGAAATCAAAGTTCTAGAGGGGTCTGAAAAGAGGCTAAATATAGCGACTAAAGCGCTAAGTTAGCAACACTGCTCTTTGCATGGTTTGTTTTCAAATGGTTTGCTGCTGTCTGTTTGGACCTTTCTGAACATGTGCAGCAAATGGACTGATCCAATATGGTGGACACTGAAGGGGGGGGGCTGAGACACACTTAATATTATCAGCATTCTGATGGCATTTTAGCAAAAGGATTTTTATCTAAAACATCATTAATGTGCAGAAATAAATAATCGTTGTATTAAACATGCACATAAACAGAGTTTTATGGGGCCCCTATGAACTTGGGGCCCTATGCACCTGTCTATTATTGCCTAATGCTGCGTTCACACCGGGGGCAGCTGGCGCGACAGAAGCAGCGAGTTTACATGCAAAGTCAATGGTTGACGCGCGTCAAGGCGCAGCAAAAGGTCCCGCGGCGCGTTTCGAGCAGCAAGCGCAGCACGTCTGAGCAGCTGAAGCAGCGCGTCGGGCGCGTTTTGGCATCTGACGCGCCGCAAACGCGCTGCTGCTCGAGATGGAAAAATTGAATTTTTGCTGCTTGACGCGCCGCGTCAACCAATCAGAGAAGCTGATCTGGGAGCTGGCTGGGAGAGAGACACAGCGCTGATGACACAGACTGCTCTGATCACTTCTCTTAAACAGTTTATTAACGCACAATTAACTTAAAATATATACATCTGCCGGCAGAATATGTTCGCTTTTATTATTCTGGTGCCTGCAGATCGGATTATTTAGATGAAAAACACCTACCAGCCGCCGCGGTGAACCGCGAGGAGGCGACCCGGCCAGAGGCTGCTGATGAATGGATTCCTTCTGTCGGCGCACCGCCGGTATGTGGGGGTCTGAGCGGCTCCGACAGAAATAACATTGGGAGGCAGGATTGTAATCTGGAGGAACTGACTCCACTGATGAAGTTTTCAGGTGTATTTTCTCACTTAAAAACATATTAAAACTACTTTATTCCCACTGATCACAGCAAATATAGCTGCAAGGCAGAGAAAGGATAGTGAAGCTCCGCCCAACGCGCGTCAGAGCCACTTTTGCACCGCGCAGCCAGAGCAGCAAAGCTGCTTCAGCCGCGCGTCAGAACTAACTGGTACAAGCAGCAAAAAGGAAGCAGCAGACGCGATTTTGCTGCTTTTGCTGCCCCCGGTGTGAACGCAGCATAATGGTAAATCCCCCAGAAATAGCATTTGTACACTGCAAAAATGATTTAGACAGAAGTAAATAAAAATTTGTTTAAAAAAAGTTCCTTTATTCTTAATTTAATTAGGTACATGACATTATTTGCAAATGGAATTAGTATTTTTACTCTTGAAATAAAATAATTAGATAATATTCATTTGAAATAAGAAAATGCTGTTTTTTATTTCAAATTTAAATTGCCTTATTCTACTGGCAAATAGTTTCACTTACCTCCTCAATTCAAGAAAAAAATGCACTTATTTTAAGAAAAAAATACTTTTAACAGTGTAGGCATTAAGCTCAGGATTTGTTTAAACGATAAACCCCACACACTGCAAAATCTGAAATCTAAATAAGTCTCTTTTTTTTTACTGAGGAGGTAGGTGAGACACTTTGCCAATGGAACAAAGTAATTTCCATTTAAACTAAGATAAAACAATAGCATTGTCTCATTTCAAGTGCATATTATTTAATCATGTCATTTTACAGCTTAACAAGACTCAAATCATCTTATTTACCTGCTTAAATTGAGGGTTAATACATCTAATTTAAGAGATTTTTACTTATTTCTAAATCGTTTTAATTAAATTCAGTTTGTTTATTTTCACAACACAGATTATCTCAATGCACTTTATAGAGAAAACACATTGAGACTGGATAAAACTCAAGGATTAAAACAAATATGTTCCCAGCTTTCTGCCTCAACATGCTGGTGTTGTGATGCAAAAGCTCATTTAAAGACACCAGCGGACGCTTCTCCGGTTCTCCTCAGTTTCACTTCATGTTTTCTCCCTGATTCTGTGGAGCAGGACAGTTTTCTAACGTCTTCCTACGACAACAAAAGGACGACGGACATCTACACAGCAAATGGTGAGACTGACGTGTATTTTACTAAAAACAGTAAAATAATAAACATTTTGTTAAGCTGAAAATGTTTACTGCACTGCAAAAAATGAAAATCGGAGTTAGTAAATATCAGGTAATCTTATTTTCCTTTTGAAATTAAGGGCAAATTCACTTATTTTAAGACATTTTTGCTAAGTTTCATAACGCTTTTGCAGTGTGCTTCCCTTACCAGCATCCTCACACTGCAAAAATGATCTAAAATGAAGTAAAAAAGCTTAAATTAATTGTATTTACCCTTAATTGAAGTTGGTAAATAAGATGATTTGCCAATGGAATGAGTATTTTTACTCTTAAAACAAGATAATTACCGTAGATAATATGCACTTAAAATAAAACAATTCAATTGTTTTTTCATATTTTGAATTTAAATTGTCTTGTTCCATTGAAAAAAACTTCCTCAAAACAAGAAAAAAATCCACTTTTTAAAAATTTTTTTATTACTTATTGAGATTTCCATTTTTTGGGTTTTTTTTGTTTTGTTTCATTTTGTGGTTTTATTAAAGGCAAAAATATTTATAGATAGAAAAATGTCTCTCAAACATTAAGAAATTGGGTTTAAGGGAGGGATAGGGTTAGTTTTTTGCTAATACTAGAAATACTTCTAAAACATCAGATTTTTAAAATTCTATTTTCTGTAGATTTTACTGATTTAAATGGAGATAAAATTATGATTTGTAGAAAAAAGGAACGTCCCAATTTATAATATCCAGTATCTTTTATGTAACGTTTATCTTTAAATAATATTTTCACTTTACAGTAACTGGATATTTGCTGTAAAATGCAGCTAAATTTTACAAGGACACCCGACAGCAAAAAACCTTTGTGGTTATTAGGGTTTGACTATAACCTTTCTGCTCTATAGCAAGATTAAAGCTATTTGATAAATACATTTTCTCTCAAACATAGGGCTTAAACTTTTCCACATTGACCAAATATCATCTTCACAAATGATGTCTATGGATTTAACTGATAAAAATAAAGATTTGAAATAGTAATCAAAATAAAATAAAAGCTTAAAGAACCTTTATTTTTTATTTTACAGTAGCAGAATATTTGCTGTATCTGTGATTAAATTCTAGAGCCTTTTCATTTAAAAAGAAAAAGCAACAGTAAACATTAACCTTTGTAGTTCTTTTGGTTTAGTTACATGTTTTTCTCTCCAACAAGATATAAAGAAGCTATTTGATATTACTTCTGTTTAAGGCTTAAGATTAATTTCATGGCTTTTCTGAGAAATACTTAGATGATTATCGCATTAAGTATGTGTGCACTTTGGCTCTGAATTTAAATTTGCAAAGAGAAATAAAATAGAAGGTTTGTAATTGCAGAGTTTACTAAGTTTTATGCTGCGTTCGCACCCATCTTGTTATTGGCATCCGTGGAAGCCGGTCTATGAGGAGTCAGGAGGTCCTGAGGCTCATTTAAATCATGCGGTGAAACCAAGAAGAATTCCAAAAAGTAAAAAAAATAATCCACTGGACTTTGTTTCCAAGTCTGAAGACGTTTCTCTTCCATCCAGGAAGCTTTTTAATTCAAAATGTCAGAAATAACCCGAAATAAATATGCTTATCCAGCAGCCCAGCAAAGCCTGGTTTTAGTTTAGAAAACATGCAAATAGAAACGGATGAACGGGTCCCCCCCCTTTGGAATGGGGGTCGTTCGGCTTCTTTGTTAGCCTGCAATGCCCCATACCTGTCTATGTCTCTGAAAGGGGGGTCGTTAGAGGGAATAGTTGACCTGGCTGAACAGGTGAGGTCTTCCTTTCTCCTATAAATATAGATATATAAGTATAGTAGCCCCTCCCTCCTGCCATCTTCCAGCAGTGACGTCACGGTGCGGTAAGCCTAGCGCCATTCTCCCCGCTTTACAAGCAAAATCAATGGGAACTACTAGACACATCTGCAATCAACAACAATTATTGAAGATTTCCAGAGGACTTCACCATTGAAATTCACCAGAGCTATAGTGAAACTGACAATGCCCACGTGCATGGCAGCTGGATGCTGGAATACATCGGGGAAAAGTGAAAAATAAAGAGTTATTCCACCTTTCTGATTCCTGATCCTCCACGGACGGGTTGGTCGTTGGATCGCCAACTTGAAGAGGGAGGATTTGCCATCGAACTTCTGGCCAGAGAAAAAACCCGTAATATGTAGCCAACATCTGGAAGAAGAATGTTTTCAAGATGACTTGGATAATAGCGCGTTGTGACAAACACCAGATACAGCACTGGGACTTGATCAACAGCCGATACCGCACCGTGACGTCACTAACCAGTAGGTGGCAGTAGTGTTCTTTGACAAACATGGATGCCTCCAGTAAAGCACATTCACATGAAAATTACTCTGAATTAAAAACACTGATCATTTATTGAACAGGATGGAATAATTTCAGATTTAAAGAACTTTCAGAAGTTTGTATTCTGATTATGAGCAACTTTTCCTTTAAGGATCGAACCCTGCTTTAAATTCTCCAGAACTGATCTGTCTGTCTTGGTTCTGGGTCTTCATGATTCTGGTTGTTCTCTAATTTATTTATTTTTCTTAAAAAAAGATGCTTTCAAAAAAAAAAAAAACTGCTGTGACAATAGATCACACCCATGGGAACCCTGCTGACTTATTAGGTGATCTTTATTCGTATTTGACTTTATTTAAAAACATGTTTTCATATGGAAAAAAAAACAACATAAAAAGGTTTCCAAGGTATTCTGGTTCGTTTTCTAACTAATTGAAGTATTGAATTCAGGAAGTATTCTGACGTCACTGTGTTTTCATGTCCAGGCCCTCCAGTGGCTGAGCTGCAGTACTGCATGGCTGCTCCTCCTGGTCTGCATCCTCCCTGTTGACATGCAGTCCTGCAGCGGAGCGACCCCTGGGATTCCTGGAATACCTGGATCTCATGGTCCCAACGGCAAGGACGGTCCCAAGGGCGAAAAGGGAGATCCAGGTGAGCTCAGGTTAAACAGGAAGTGAACCCCAGATCTTCTTCTAACACCTTCTGTCGTCATTCATATTTGTATATTTCATATATGAAACATTGTGATTCTGATGAGAAGCTTCAATAAAAGTTTATTTTCCTGAACAGGTGAATCAGGTCAAGCTAACAGGGGTCACAAAGGCATGGCAGGTCTGCGGGGCCCACCGGGACGGCCTGGTATGAAGGGGGACGTAGGTCAGCCTGGCGCTGCTGGGTATGCGGGCCAGAAAGGGGAAAAAGGAAAACCCTTCAACCCCTCCAACAAGCAGAAATCCTTCTTCTCCTACCAACGGGCCCCTTCAAATATCGCAGAGTTTAACACAGCTGTTAACTTCAACAGGTGAGAGTTACTGATCCGTGTTGTCCGTTTGAGTGTGACGCTGAGCAGATGAACAATGGTGGAAGAATCCCTCAGCATGCCAGTTTGCTCTGGAAGAGACTGGAGCGCTGATCAGATATCTGTATGAATTCCAGGCTCATCCATTCAAGTTCTGCACTGTTAACAGCTGGAAATAATTAATGCAAAAAATAACCTGACAAAGCAGCTCATCTAGCCAGAGAAAAAACACGTAATATGTAGCCAACATTTGGAAGAAGAACAGTCGCCAGTTACCGTTTTGATCTGTGGCAGTTCCAGAAAATGTTAGTGGTTTCCAGGCACTGAGGTGGGAGCATAGCTGCCTAAACCAGTTCAGGGTCAATCTACACTCATCACAATAAACCAGCAGGAAAATAAACAAAGCAAATCTATATTTTCCAAATAAACCACTCTAGAATTTATGGTTCTACATGATATAATAAATGGGTTGAACAATTCTTTATCTTAAATTTTAAAGCAGACTCTCTAAGTGATTGAAGGGACAAACTCTGCCCCTTTGAACATAAAACCTGATTGTTAAAAGAGAATTCTGTTTTAGTAGATTATAGTGCAATGTTGTGAATAACCTTATGCTGCACTTATGGGCTCTGTTCAAATTTATGGGATTCAGTTTAATATAATCCAGTCAGTGAATAGTTCCGTCTGAAATGAATGAAAATAGTTGTTTTAATGTTTGTGAGTCAAATATGTGGCGGTAATGTTTGATTTATCTAAAGGTTTTTATCTGTTACTGTGTAAATGGGTTTGGCTGTAATATGAGGACAGATTCTTGTCACGGTCTTACTTCCTGTTTAACTTTGATCCGTGTTTCATTGGTTTATTTCCTACTTTGTGTTTCTAGATATATTTTAGTTCTCAGGTTTGTCTTTGTTGTCCTCTACTGTTTGTTCCTTTTTCCCTTGGCTTCCTCGTTATCTCTACCCACACCTGCTCCTTATCAGCTCGTTAGCCTTGCCTTTGTTCAGTCAGCCATATATATTCCTCCACTGCTGTCACTCTTTGCTGGTTCCTCATCGCTGTTGTCTTCTTACCTCGTCTCTTCGTGCTCGTTTTCCACTGATGTCTCCATGGTTTTTGGTTTGTTAACAGTTTTAGTTGGATTTTTGGATGTCTGCCTCTGTTACCTGTGTAAATTCATTAAAAAAACTGCAAGGACTTACCCCTGCCTCATAGCTTCTGCATTTGGGTCTAAAACCACAACCAAACCCTGACTATTCTAATATATCTGCAGTGTGGGGACTATAAATCTGATAGGATTTTTGTCTTTTAATTGCATTTTGTACAATTTGCTTAACTGAGTATTTTTTGTCGTTGAATATAAGAAATTTTACAGATATATATTTTTATACATACATTGTTTATATTTACTTATATCTTTCTACACATTTTATAGAATAGAATAGAATAGAAAATCCCTTTTTTGTCCCACAATGGGGAAATTCTGGTGTTTACAGCAGAAAACCGATTATAGAAAAAAAGTGTGGGCCGTAGAAAATGTATAAGAATAACATAATACTATTCTCACGAGTCTTTGTTAACTTTACAATAAACAAAAAGAAAAAAACTTAAAAAGAAACAGTTTTAAATGTTCAGTATTCATTCTTTTCCTGCTTTGTGTCTCACCTGTCACGGTTGCTAAGCGACAGAGCATACCACGGTTCTCCGCTGAAAGCTGGACCTGTTTGAATCCTCAGCCAAAACTCTTCCAGTCTCCTTATTTTCACGGACTTGGAAGGATCCAGTCCAGGTAGACCACGTCCTTGGTAGACGCAGCCCATAAATTCGAACAGAGCCATGGTATCAGTTTCTGGTTAATATACTAACTTTAAAATGTCAAGGTAGGATAATATCAAGCCTGCCACCCTCTGGTTTGGAGGAGAATTGTTTGTTTAAGAGGCATTGAATTAGGCTACATTGACGTCGCACATGATTTCAGCAGCAAAGAAGCTCCTGCTGCTTCATTTCTGATGCTTTGATCCACATTAAGGTCAGACGTCCAGTAAAGTGCGCTGTCACTGGGAATCCCCAGCAGCAGCTGCCTCAGGCCCGCTCGCCTCTTCACGGTTTGCCGCGGCGAATGGAAGGTGTTTTTCACGTACATAATCCAAACTGCTGGCACCAGGATAATAAAAGTGATCATATCAGGCCGGCAGGTTTCTACATTTTCAGTTAATTTAGGCGTTAATAAACTGTTTCATCACTGTATCATAGCGCTCTGCATCAGCAGTGCTGCGTTTGACTCCCTGCCAGCTCCCATTGGAGCTGGCAGGGAGTCTCTGATTGGTTGATGTGGTGCATCTTGCAGAAAACATTTTCCAACTCAAGCATCTGGTGCTTGTGAAGCGTGTCCCTCGTCTCAGAAGCTTACAAGGCGCCGCTTCAGCCGCTCTAGACGCGATGCAGGACCTTTTGATGCACCTTGATTGGCGTCCATCATAGACTTTGCATGCAAACCAGCTGCTTCTGCTGCTCAAAGCGCATTCTGTGTGAACGTAGCGTTACCTCCCAGTGGGATGTTGATGTTAAGAACTAGAGGAATTTGAAGGGGTATAATTGAATAGGTTTCACATCTTGATGCACATTATATCACAAATTATACATTATGTTTGCATGTGTTACATTGATCATTTTTAGGTATGTGAGATTTATTTGTCCATTCATTCATTTATTAATTCATTAAACCTCCGCCCCCCAGGGAGATCGTCCCAGAGCTGGGCCCACAGTTTCAAGGAGAAAAGGTGATCGATGGCAAATTTAACTGCACAATAAAAGGAGTCTATTTCTTCAGTTTCCACATCTCAGCAAAGTCCAGAGTGAGTCTGCAGATCTCTGCCTTAGTCCCAAACTGCATCCATCTCCCATGATTTTTCAGAAGAATACGGCACGTCTTAAACATCCAGCCCTAACGATGTGTTCATTCTAACCACACAGGTGTGTGTGAAGCTGATGAAGGGAGAAGAAAGTCACATGACGCTGTGTGACAGCTCTGATGCTTTCCTGGTCACGTCTGGCTCAGCGGTTCTGGAGCTGAATCCTGGAGACCAGATTTCTGTGGTGCCAACCAGGTTCAACGGCCTTCTTACGAGCCAGAGCAGCACCAGCCACACCTTCACAGGCTTCATGATCTTCCCCACCTTGTAAACCAACCAGGCTCAGACCATCGCACCACAGGAACCTTCAACCGGCTGCAGGAATTCTTCTCTGGTGAAAACGGAGTAATCGCTTGACGTTAGAAAGGATGGCTCTTCATGTTTTCTCTGAATATTAAAATATTTTCATGTTCCTGGTGAATTATCCTTTAGACACGGTTTGCAATCTTTGACCCAGTTTAAATAAAATGAAAGCCGGGTGACAGTCTTCATGTTTTATTCAATTCCATTCTATTCAGTTTATTTCTATAGCGCCAATTCACATCATGTCATCTCAGGTCACTTTCCAGTTCACCAGATCATCCAGTCAGATTGATTCAAAGTTTTCATTCTAAGGAAAACCAGCTGATTGCATCGACTCATTGACTCTTCAGCAATCCCTCACACTAAGCATGCTTGTAGCGACAGTGGAGAGGAAAAACTCCCTTTGAACAGGAAGAAACCTCCAGCAGAACCAGGCTCAGTGTGAGCGGCCATCTGCTGAGGCCCACTGGGGTTCAAGGAGACAGAAGCAGACATAGAAAAAGAAGCATAGATACAAAAGGCAACTGTCAACCAGCTCCACAGGCGGCCCCGTCCAGGAAACACACAGCCAGGCAGACGAGCTCCGAGCCAGCTCCCATGTCAGAGGATGAAGAGAGCACATCCAGTTAGTCACAGTCAGAGAAACAGGACTACACTGGAAAACAGGCCAAGCTCCAACATCTAGAAACAAAGGTGTTGATGGCAGCAGCACAGCTGATATATTCAGCCACAATTTATCTAAGCATCTCCTAAAGGTCCAACAATACACACTATTTTCATTTTTTTATCCTCTAGAAAACTCAATTTTTATTCACTTTAGTTTATTTTTGTGCCATTTCACAATACATCTCCTGTCAAGACACTTTACAGAGACAGTTCAATAAAACACACAGCAAAAAGACAAGAAGTCCTTCTAAGGGGGATTTCTTGCTGCAATATCAGATGGTTAAACAAGTTTTCAGTAGAATCGTCTCTCTGCCTTTGCTTACTTTATCTGTCTTCAGATCATAAAGACTGTAGTGGAGGACTTGGTTAGATTGACAGTTTTTGCAGTGCAGAACTTTTAATGGAGCCACTGTTCCACCAAATTGAAAGGCATGAGGGGTTCAGGCATCTGCAGACATTTTTGGGTTCTTCAAGAATGTCACCCGAAGGAGACTGTACATCATTCAGTCTGATGGATGATTCATGATGCAACAATACATTATATATATATATATATATATATATATATATATATATATATATATATATATATATATATATATATATATATACGGTTTATGAAAACCATCCGAACCGTTCGGTTTGACTGTCTCGGTTCGGTTCGCGTGTGTTGCGTTCGGTTCATGCGCTGCTCCTTTTTCTCATAGGCGAAGCGTTTACACTCCAGAGCAGAAGGTGGCGGTACTGCGACCAAAGCCAACCACCAGTAGTAAACAAGACGAAGAAGAAGCGAAGCAGCGTAGCCGGGTGTAGCAGAAAAAAATCAGTTGTTGTGGAGAATTGTGTGGGTATGGCGAGTGGGAAAGAACAGGAGTTGGAAGACGCGCCAGCAGCACTTTATAGGTCTGCTGTATGGGACCACTTTGCATTTAGAGTGACCTACCATGACGGCGGAAAGAAAGCTGTGGATAACAGTGCAACAGTGTGCAAGCATTGTGCAACACGTTTTGTTTACGCTAACAGCAACATGACCAACATGTCTCATACATCCGTCAGCGCTCCGCCCAGCCCTGCCCCGCTGTGGCTCCCGTCCGCTCCGCTCTGAATTCCTTGGAGATCATAGAGGGCATGCGCCAGATGATTAAATCAAAGCAGCACAACATGTGGAAATGATCCAGGGTTTCCACGGATCATTAAAAATTATTTCAATTCATTAATTTTTTTTGGATTTTTTTCATTAATTTCATAAAGAAAAAAAATTTTCATTCATTTTTATAATTTTTTTTCTTTTTTTTTTTCGGTGTAACAATAAACATATACCGAACCGAAAACCGTGACCACGAAACCGTGAACCAAACCGAACCGTGGATTTTGTGAACCGTTCCACCCCTAATATATATATATATATATAGATAGATAGATAGATAGATAGATAGATAGATAGATAGATAGATAGAACTAGAAACATGTTTGTGTATATCAAAATAAAAATATTATAGAATGTATCAGTAGCTGTACGTGCATTCATCCTGTCAGAATATTCTATTTTTCTTAACCACACTCAGAAAGGCGCTGAATCATTTCTTTGTTTTCGAAAAAAAAAAACGTGAAAATTAGTTAAATATTCAGCGAGCTAAGTTGATTCAAATTGATTCTGTTCCTGCTCAAGACATCACACCGAGGGGAGCTGTCGACCTCCCCAAGATGGCGCCACCAAATTCTGTCAGCGCCCATAGACGACAGCTGTCGATGCGGGATCTACTCTTATATGTTTGGTGTGTGGTACATGAGTTAAAACCCCTGCCCCTCACGAGAAATGACCCAAAAAAGTAAGAAAAACAATAAAATAACGAAATAAAATAACGAGAAAAATATTATAGTGTACCCGGAAGTTATTCTGTCCGCGCATGCGCAGATCGGGTAGCGACATCCACTGCTCAGAAGCTGTTAAAGGGACATTAAAAGATAAAGTAACAAGATGTGAAGACTGCAGCTACAGCGGCAGGAGAGAAAAGACTAAAATGGAGGACAGAGATCATCTTCATCCCAACATCCTGGAAGCTGCTTTAAAGCCAGAAGTTCTGCATCTGAAAGGTTTCTGTTTCCATGTTAGTGTAAAGGAAAGCTCTGTGTTTGCTCCTGGAAGGTTTCTCTCTCAGGTTGTTTTCCTTAGCAGAGATCAACCAGGACAAACTCTTTCAATGACACTTTAATGTTTATTGGTGATTTAACCAGGAGACATGAAAACAGAAATTATAATCTTGGTCAGTTACAGAAGGCAGCTGCTTAGAAAACTGGGCTCACATCTAGTTGAAGTGGTCTGATTCACAGTTAGAGAATCATTTTATACAACTCCAGTCTGCCACATCATTACATCATCACATCATTACATCATCACATCAATACATCATCACATGTTTGCAGATGAGCAGACATCCAGAGACACCACTCTCATTTTGTTCCCACATCTTTGCCACCTGCAGAATGAAGATGACTTTTTATCCTGACAGAGGAACTGTCATAATTAGACAGGGGCGGATTTAGGAAATTTGGGGCCCTAGGCAAAGACAGGCAGGGGCCCCTCTGAATGGAGAAGACAACACATGAAACAGACCCAATCTACAGATAGAGAAATGTTAATAGAATAGACATCCATTTCTTTTCTTCTTGTTTTCCTCTCTATGTTTTGTACTCAGCTGACTTTTCATGCTGTCTCTAAAGGAATGAAAGATTTTTTCCAAGCACTAAGCTCACTTAGCTGATTGCTCCTTCCTGTGTTTCCAAAAAGGCCAAAGTAAATAACCCAGTCCTTCTTTTCACTGTAGACAAGCCATGATCTGCTTCTCTGTTCTCCATTTTTCATTTGGATGAAATAATAGCTGCATGAATCATGACAGCAGACAAGATAGAGGAGAGCAGGAGGCGGGGTTACCAATCTACTTGCTCTGGAGAGCAGAGTTCGCTGCTTTTAGATGTTGTATCCAAAGTCTCCAGTAGCAGAAAAAGTCTCTAGATTTGGCGCTAGGAGCTTTTTAGAAATCAAAGTGCTAGAGGGGTCTGAAAAGTGGCTAAATATAGCGACTAAAGCGCTAAGTTGGCAACACTGCTCTTTGCATGGTTTGGAAAACTTGGAAAAACATTCATTCTGACACGAAACTGGAAGGAATTATTACGAATAAACAGACTCATACATCATCAGTAGGAATAATCATAACATTAGTGAAGGTTTAAGGAAATGTAAGGTGACATTAACTAAAGCCAGTAGTAACCAATTAACGTAAATAGCATACGTTAGTGCACCCGCCACATTGTGAGGGTTTAGCTCGACCTGGAGCAAGTGTTAATCCAGAATAAGATGGATTTTTTCGTGGAATAGCATAGCGCTAACCTGACTCCGCCAGATGGATTTGCTCCGCATATCCATCTGGAAACCTTCCGTAGAAGTAATTTTGGGAAGGGGCTAAAATACTGGTTAGCTGATTGGCCTATGTTGGTGATAGACGGGCCAAAGAAACCAATCAGATCAACGAAGCATATGACGTACTAACAGAGCCATGACGAAAAAACACAACCACAAGCCAGAAACAAGCCAATTGATAGATCAAACTCTTGCCTAAACCAGTCGGGAGAAGAGCAAAAACATCTTTTCCTCTGAGAAAAGCCTCCAGGGCAGTGTTTTGCTCTTCTTTCAGTGAACAAATACTCTGTAATTCCGATAAAACTTGCTTGATAGCCACGCTAACGCTAGTTTCATCGGCTGAAGCCGCCATGTTCTTTAGACTGAACTGTCACGCTTCTCATTGCGTCACACCTCAACCCGCCTCAAAGCCAACGCTGATTGGACGTTCGTTTGGTGAACTGCTCCAAATTTTCTTCAACGGAGAGTCTCCAGACTGATTAGCGAGTGAAATCTTGAAAGCTCGCGAGATCAGGATGAGGCTAGCATAGCGCAGACTACGCTTAAAAATTGGGCATAAATCAAAAATATCTGCGACAAGCTCACTGCGACACACTGCTGCGGGAGGATACTCCTTTAATATTTCACACAGGGGACAATTGTTAGGCAAATTTTAATGAGTTTTATGTATGTTTAGACCCTCAAACAGGTCTGTCATTTAGAAAAGAATAATAAAGATTTAAGTCATAAAGAGATCTTGACAGCTCTTCTCTAAAATAGGAATTTTATTTTATTATTATTAACAATGCCCAGACTGTGCCAAGGTTCTCGCTAATATCCATCAAATGTTTCAATGTTTCCTGCAGATGTAAAGCAGATGCTGGTGGTTAAAGAAGAGGACCCTGTAGACCACCTGGTAGGTGCTGAGCTGCTCAATCCACAGCCCCCCCACACGAAGGAGGAACAGGAGGAGGTCTGCATCAGTCTGAGGTGAGAGCTGCTCAACAGCAAGGAGGAGACCATCAGTTTTCCAGTCAGTGTTCCTCCCTTTGAGAGCGTAGATGTTGATCATTGCCCTCTGATCCTACAGCTTCATCAACATCAAGTTAAAGAC